GTCGTCGTAGCAGTCGTAGTAGTCGTAGTAGTCGTAGTAGTCGTAGTAGTAGTAGTAGTAGTAGTAGTAGTAGTAGTAGTAGTAGTGGTAGTAGTGGTAGTAGTGGTAGTAGTAGAAGAATAGGAGTAAGAGTAAGAATACGACTGGCAGTAACAGTAATACTCATACTAACAGTAAGAGCTCGTACTCGGAAACATAACAGCAACAGCAACGGCAACAGCGGTTAGTAATTGCGATGCGAGAGCAACTATAATCGCATATGGTGGCACTAGTACTAGCACTGGGAAATGGGGTCAGCAGTAGCAGCAGCCGCAGTGGTAATGACTCAAGTACACTAAGTACAAGTAGAAACAGCAGCCGGTTCTACAGCAGCAGCAGTGCTTTCTTGCAGAGATTAGGCTCGCGAGCCTAATCCAATGACCTTGAGTGTCGACGAAGCTGAAGGGCGAGATGGTGAACGGGAACGCTTCCTAGCAGGCGTGTCTGTCAACGTGGCCAAGTCGAAACGTTAACTTCTTTAGTGACAGCTCATCTGAGTCTTTCAGAACTTCTTGCAGCTCAGAATCCGTGCTGGTCCATCCCGTGGGAATCAGCATCCTCAGAAAACGTCCACATGTCGCTACGAGTCGTTACGCTGTGTTCAGGATGCTTCCCAGTGCTTTGGCGAGCCGCGCGGCTACCCACTGCCAAGTGACTCGGCTTCATAATCCAAAAATCGAACATGGCGAGAAAAGGTGTTGTAGCCAAGTGAGCGCCCATTGAAGACGGCGCGGACTCAAAGACAGGCATTGTAAGCCTGCGGCTGACGAGAATCTGCTTGTGCCATGACCTTGCAGATTGGTTGCCAGCATTGTCATACCGACAGGACCTATATGACGGTAAGATCATGCTGATGACAATGCGATGATGATTGTGGTGATTTCCTCATGATCAGCTTCTCCATCCTCTTCGTATGTTTAGAATCATATGCATCTTCGCCCGGCTCCTCGTCATCACTGCAATCATCATAGTCAGCATATCCACAACAGGCGTCCTCGTCATTGCTCATCCTCATCCTCGTCCTCGTCGTCATCATCATCAACAACAACGCATGCATAGTTACTGTCCTCGTCATATCCAGACAATTATTACAACGGCAGTCTAACGCATGCACGACGGTCAACGTGCTCACCATGGCTGTCGGCCATGGCAGTGGCAGAATATCATTACCATGGAGCGCTGCACAATGCAGGCACAGCAATCATGCTGTGGAGGATTCGGAAGTGCAGCCGTTGCGTCGAAGCTTGCAAGCGCTCAAATAGTTTGCTGATGCACTGGTGAAGTGCTCTTGTTCTCCAGGATCCTGCTAATTCAGCAGGAAGATCACGACGGCCGTTCATGAAGCGACTCAGACACCGGCGCGATGGCCCACCTGGTAAGTCTCGATGGCAGCCTGCATCAAGCGAGCTGGCAGCCTCTCCTGGAGTTAGTCGTTTCGTGCCCAATCCCTATTTTAAGCGGATGTCTCAGCGCCGGGCTTTGGTGAAGGTGTCCTGGAACTCATACCTCAGACATGTGCATTCCGAGACATCGAAAGGATCTTCAGATGTTGGCTGTGCCGATGCATTTAGGGGAATAGCAGGCGCAGGCCTGCGAAGCCTGGCTATTATGCGTGCCAAGGACTTCTGCCTTACTCCGTTTTGGAGTCACGCTTCAGGAGCGGCTTTCCATGACAAAGCGATCAAAAGCGCCGTTGTCCGCCTTCCTCATGTAAGCTGCGGCTTGCACCATGCCTGCGCAGCCGCGCCTGGGCATGGAGTTCATTACAAGAGCAGACTGCTCTTGTAATGTGCCTCAGTCAAAGGCCGTCCCTGGCTAAACCATGCCAAAACCACAAATTCCATGCTTACCTTCGCCCCAGCGGCTGCGATCTCCGGGTGCGGAGCAGCCCCTTGTGGGTTTGGCCATCAACTAGCCGCCATCACCAGCAGAAGCCCGGAGTGAACGGCGATTCAATGCTGCTGACTCCGAGCTTTTGCAGGGGCGTTGCCTCTCCTGTGCGTTTTTCGCTGTGAAATGATCTGCAATCTGTGTTGAAGCCTTGCAGCCGTCGCAGATCGATGCACGGCAGTCGCCCATATTCAACACCAGATGTCACTGTCCCAGAGGAAGTGGCTGATGATTGCACCTTGGCCTCGTCGGCCAGCTCTGGATGTAGACACTCCCTTGCTGCAAGGAAGGTATCACATACAACTTTCTCACTATCGCTAGCGACCTCGGAAGGGGCCCTGGACGGGTTTGGCAGCCTTGTCGCCACCGGCCGTCAAAGACGGCAACGTATGTATGTCCCCCAATATCGTTGCGCATGGCGATTGCATCTTCCATTCTCGCAAGGTCACTTCTGGCAAGAGCCAAGCCGTAATCGGAGTCCGCTGCCGCCGTACCGCGGCAAACCTTCCGGCCCCTTGCCCCGACACTCGTAGCCATGGGCAACTCTTGCGATTGCTGCGCACTCAGGCCCTGATGCCACGGCCATCACAAGACTTGTCTGTGGCCACAGCTCTCTCAAGGGCTCCAGGGCTGAATCGAATGTGCGTTGTAGGAGAGAAGCGCTATTCGATACTATGCGCCGGGAGGCTTCGGCACAAAGCCAAGTGTCCACTTCGACGTCAACAAGCGCATTTTTACATGATGCCTCAACCTTTCCCGGTGAATCATCTTCGAGGTATGCTCTACCATCTTGGCTGTTCAAAGTACCGATGCCTAGGATCTTTTGCCTTGAGGCACAGTCTACCCTGCAGAATGGAAGGATTCAACCTTGCTTCCCCTTTTTTCCGACGGCCCATCGCCAAGAAGCCGCAGTTAGCACAAGTGCGACAGGACTGCTCCGTGTTATGTCTCAAATCATCTCAGCTGATAGTTCGCCTGGCCCTGAAATATTTCTATCCGACATTGGCAGGACGAGGGCTTTACCATGGACGGATCGATTGTCCTGGTATGGAATATCAAAAACATAAAGTCTCTCTGTGTGTGTATATATATATATGCATACGTATTGATCTCTTCGATTGTTTGTTTCTCTTATTGTATGTGGACATATATATACACACACATACACTTAGATACATATATATATATACACACACACGCGCATACTTATGTACACGTACATACATACATACATACATACATACATACATACATACATACTTGTGGAGGAGGGACTGGGACGAAAGCTAGGCAGAGCAGCAGCGGACAAGCCGAGCAGGCAAGCGGACTTCTTAAGGAAAAACATGCCGCCGGCCGGAGTTTTGTTGCTGATCTTGGTTGGCTGGGCGGAAGAGCTTGAGCGTAGGAGCCAGAGAAGGCACTGAAAGACAATCATGCTGGTTGCAATGCAGGAGATTGGAACAGTCGCAGCACCGAACATCACACGAGCCAAGCCAGCCACTGGAAAAGAATCATGCGCATCATTGATGCCCGGCCGGGCCGGCGCGGCGAGCATTATGAGCATCATTGGCGCCCGGCCGGGCCCGGGAGGCCAGCATCATTGGCAGCTCGTTTCTACGTTCCAGGGCAAGCCGAAACACTCGCTTTTCATGCCCGAAAAGGAGGGGGTCTCGTCGGGCGAAAATGCAACTGCAGGTGCTGTCTAGCTCGGGAAACCGGCACCGTTTGGTAGTATTTTGGGGTCCCCTTTCCTCACACCCCTTGTTGCAACCTCGGTTGATAAGAAACTCCGCTAGCCCCGAAGGCTAGCTTTCGTGATTTATGTATGCATATGTATGTGTACGTGTATGTACGAACATACTTACATACATAGAAAAGTGGCAGTACGTAAGTAAGCTCTTCTTGCTCTGTTTTCCAGTGGCCTTGAGCAGACCACTTCACATGTACACCATGTCCGACCGAGACGGAAAACTTTTGCGGTCGAACATCACCTGCTGACTCTACCCTGACGAGTCTCCGTATACTGATGTTTGGATTGTGCTAGCTAAGACTTGAAAGGACCTGCACCTTCAAAACTGTCAATGAATTCAAGCCCCGGACAGGCCAGCGAGTCTGTTGGCTTCATGGCGCTCCGTGGGCGTCAGCAACGCGTTGGTCATCGACTGCAGCAGGCGACATTATCCCAGGGATCTGCCCAGGGCTCGCTGACAAAGGCCTCAAGGCCTGAGGACCCACTTGTAATGGCGATGCCCTTTCTAAGAGGAGAAGGAAGGACCACCGGTTTTATTCTGATGGAACATCTAGCAGGAATCTGGCATACCTTCGGCCTTCAACCTGGGTCTCTTTCTCAAAAGGGCGCAGGAGTGCATGGGACCGCTTTGTTTTTTGGTGCAAGTCGGTGCTAGAGGAGATATTCCTGCAGGTTGCGGATTTGCTGGTGCGTCTTGCTATGCTTCCGAACTTGCCATCTACAAAACCCAAAGCCCCCTGGCCCAGAGCCCCGACCACTCACAGGGCCTTGCCATTCACCATGATCCGATCCAGATCAATCCTCGTCTCGCAGAACCAATTGAGCCCTCTCTTCACACGTGCCCTCGCCCTCGTGTCTTGCGTGATGCCACTCAAGCAGAAGCAGAAGTACCAAAGTCGTTTCTGTGCTTGGCAGCGGAACCGCTGTGATAGTCACAGCGGCAGCTCTTATACTAGGTAGCGGTAGGACCAGTAGTAGCTGAAGCCTTCCTTCCGACTCCGAATGGACCACAATAAAAGAACGAGCCCTTCGGAGCATACGAAGTGATGACTGTGAAATAGGAGAGTCAAGGAACCGTCAATCAGCTCTTGGCCAAGTCTCGTGATGATGTCTTGACCAAACTCCGGGTCGTTGGTAAGGTGTGTAGAGATGGGATCCTTCACAGGACGCAGAGTTCGCGTGTGTTCTGCGGGGCCACGGCTGAGCCGTGCTTCTGACTTTAGTAGCCTAGTAATCCGCAGAAGTCTCTTTCGGAAAACGGGCTCTCCATTCTCAGACCGGGTGATGGGCCTCTAGACCACCATCATACATTGCAGCATAACCGGTATGACACTACAACTCATTGTTCGTTTTGTTTCGGGTGGTCCCGGTCGCATACCCTGCCGAAATGACAATGGTACTAGCGATGAGGCCCTTGTAATGAAGCTGCTCCTAGAAAGTGGCATCATTATGGGGCATGCTGCTGTATAGTGGTCCTTCAAAGCAGAGTAGTTGATTGGCTAAAGGTCGACCCCAGCTCGACTCTGGCTGTTAAATCCGGGGACCGCGGAACTCCGACGAACATGTTGCTGAGCCACGAACCGAGAAGGTCAGCACACTGGAGGTTTGGCCAATGTCAACCTTCCGGTGGGTTTAGACATTATAGTCATGCCAAGCGAAGACGCATGCTCGTACATCCAAGCTGTTCTGCGTGGGGTTTGACGTCACGTTTGGTTGTGCCACAACCTGTAATATAGGGGCCGTAATGATTAGAATAGGGTTTGGGGGCCCATTATACTATATAGGAACCCCCAGTATAGTATTGGTAATTATTCAGGCCCCTACATTATCATGGTAGGACCCTAGGATCGTCCTGGAAGGTGGAATGGGCTGAGACATTGTAGACGGAGCAGCCGTGACTTTGAAGAGCCCTGACACCAGACCCAGCATCCCAGACCCGAGAAGTAGAAGGATAGTCTGATTTTGGGAGGAGCGCAGCCTGCGAGAGTGGGAAGATTCCATAAGGAGGGAGTCCTCAGGCGGGGCCTTTTTCCTTATGGGAGAACCCCTAAACCCTAAACCCTAAACCCTAAAACCCTAAACCCTAAAACCCTAAACCCTAAAACCCTAAACCCTAAAACTCTAAACCCTCCACCCTAAACCCCTAAACCCTAAAGCCCTAAGGCTCTTGTCAGCTGCTCATTTGAAGTCCAAGGACCGAGACCCGGGTTCGCCACATCCGGCCGTTGTGGTGAGCAAGACCCAGACAGAGAACCCTGTACCCCTTGATTAAGGAATACATCTTAAATATACAGACTATAGGGCCCTTCGTAGCATGACATACGGTATCTTCCGTAATTAAGGGGTATCGGGCTCTCTGGGGGATGTCTGAGGGCCAAACACGCTCGATGTAGACCCCGGCGTCGGAGGCGGTCAGCACATTCGTGTCAATGGACTCAGTGAGAGCTGCCTGCCTTTGAGCCACGAGGGTTTGAGTGACAACACTACCTATAGTCTCCATTGTAGTTCCTTTTTTTGGTTAAACCAATCTTATATTTAGGATCCTATAAGGGAACCTCAAAAAGGTACTACAATGGAGACTATAGGTAGCATGGATACCGGTACACTCTGCAAGGTTGCTCTTACAGCGAGGAAGGAGGCCACATCCTTTGCCACCCTCTCGCTTCCAACCGAACCTCTCAGTCTGTACTAGCTACCTCACGGACCAGATTTGTCTGCAAGAAGCACTTCTGATGTAGTCGTTGAAGATTGTTAAGGTTTCACATGTTTGCGATCTATGCCAGCCGGAGCGTCTATCATGCGCCTATCCAAAAATAACCCCCAAGAACGAGCCTGCAGCCATTGCCATCAACGGCAGGGCATCGCACTTTGAAGCCGGTGTAGGAATTCGGGTCGTTGTTGTTGTCTGGGCAGCTTCAGCAGGCTGGGAAAGGGTGCGGTCAGAATCATGTCTTCAGCCTCTAGTTATCAGGTCAATGCCGTCATCCTGCTGCATAGCTTCGCTGCACGTAAGCTTTTTTAAATCCAAACTGATAGATTCTGAGCTTTCTGCCGGAGCATGCTGATGTCGCTGGGATGATGCGGATCTTGTCGTTTGGACCTGTCATCATTGAGTGGCCTTGAGTGGCGTCACCCGGTGCATCTGTTCCGCAGCTGTGGAAGATCGAAGAATCGATGCTTGAAATCTTAACCTCTGTGGGTAGCTTTCAAAATTAGGGCCCCTTTTTAGGTCCNNAGTACGGCACCCTTATAAAGAAGGACTCTAAAAGGGACCGCAACTTAGAGAACTACCCATGTAAAGATCGTGTAAAGCTCAAGAAGCCTCGGAAGGATGACTGCAAAGCGATCTACACGCTCGGTACAGCGGCCCTAAACCCTAAACCCTA